TACTGCTGTGTCTTCTAGCCCAGTATTAAAACTGCCCACGATCTACTTGCCTCTGTGTAATGCCTCTGGAAGAGTGTCGTCATGAGGACTTAAGTTTGAACAGTCTTCTGCTTGAAATTACTTAGTACTGCATCTTTGATTTGAGATGTATGTAAACTCTTTTCTTGAATTACCAAAGCTCATATACTGCCTGTGCTGGCTTGTTTGACTTAGGTAAAAATAGGTATAAGTAAAATTGGGGCAGAATTTTGAATTGTAACTATGAAAGAATTATATTTGATATCACAAGTACTTTAAAGTTTAATTGAAGCCAGCACAGAAATAGCACATTGGTAGTGAAATATTAAATGAACAAATATTTTTGATTGAAGCCTAGGGCCCAGTAATTGAATAGAATTTTATGAGTGACTTCAAGTGCCTGTGAGGGATTGAATGCAGACAATGAAGTGTCATGACAGCACAACTCCATGGAAGTCAATTGTCAGGAAAGAAGTGACTCCACACATAATCCTCTCAGCAAATGCTTCAGATAAATCAAGAATTGTTTGGTTCACTTTCTTGTACTTCCTGGTGTCATGAGTGGCCTTCCACAGCAGGCCACTTGCTCCCTGTGCAAGACTTTGGCAAGACAGAGAGGAGAGAAGCAGGAGTTGAGATCGAGGATTAGGGACCAGGCATTGAGATGGAAAGGCAGAGGTATCTTCAAGGGAAGCACTTAAAGAATCAGAATAAGCTGAGTTAGAAGGGGCCTACAGGGATCATCGAGTCCAACTCCTGGCCCTGCCCAGCACCATCCCCAAGAGTCACAAGAGGAACTCTCTCGTGTTTTTGTTTCTCCCGTCTTGATTGGATAAATGAGCTAGTTTAAACAGGATCTTCAGACACCTCTGCTGGGAGCAGACAGGGTTGATATGCTGGGATAATAGCCTAAGATTTAATCTAAGCATTGCATCATGGGATTACACCCTAGGAGGTGTAAATGACTCGTTCTCAACATGACTTCACTTACATGACCTGGAGCCTGGCAATGCCTCATCCGGTACCTGGGCATGTTTTACTCCTTATTCAGATCTTTGACTCAGTCTGTAAAACACAACCTGCTGCTCAACTGCAGAGTCTAAAGAATGGTTCAAGTTCAAATGAGCTTCAGGCTGATTAACACTTCTGAATTCCTTCTCTCTTGTGGCATGTAACAATTAGTTGAATTACCATGATGTTTTCTGGTGTCTGTGTTGCTTCCACGAGCACAGATTTTTGTGTTAAGCACTTTCACTGTTACCTGGGGAGCAAAGCACAAGTGTGTCCCTTGCATGTTGCTAAACTGGTGGGCAAAACGTAGCCAGGAAAGCCAGTGGAGCTGAGATGAGCCCTTCTGCCTGCAAGAGGATGCCTCACTGCATCTCCTGCTGTGCAGACATGTGTGGATCTTCCTCCACAGAGGAGTCATTTTGTCAGCTCACTGGAGGTTTAGTGTATTCAGTAGAGTTCAGTAAAAAAAAATGTAGTTGGTGGTATGTTCCCATGGCCGTCAAGCTGTACTCCCTGTGGGTGGTCCAGCAAGGCAGACAGGCTCAAAATGTTTGGAAATACGTGCACAATTTAGGACCCTGAAGCTGGCCAACATGGCTGTCTATCCTACAAGAGTATTGGGTGCCAAAAAAAATTGGGCATTCAGCTTTATCCAGCCCATCATGTTTTTCTTTGTAGCTAAAAGTCTTTTATAAAACCACCTGCCAAGTGTTGTAGCTGTTTAGATTTAAGGGTTGACAGCTACCCAAACCTGATTTTATTGCAGGCTAGAGATTTAACTGGCAAGCCACGAAAAATAAATAAATAAGGGGACTTGATGGTGCTGTAAGAGTTTTGCAGGCCAGACTCAGTTTGGATTTTTTTCACCTATTTTTGGAGCTCTTAGCAAAGCAACAATCAAGCTTTTGGGTCAGATTCTTGAAGTAAATGATTTTAAACTTCTGATGCTTTTAAAAAATAATCATAATAGTTAAAAAAAAAAACCAAAACCAAAACCAAAACATTCTGCTTCTAAGGAGATTCCATACAAGTGAAAGGCTTGCTTTCCCCTGCACCACAGAGCAAACTGGGCAAACAGGCAGCTTGTGACTTTGACAATAGGTCTTTGTGTTCTGAAGACTTAGCATAAATTATTCCCTCCCCAAGGAAGGCTAGGAAGCTAAAAAACAAGTCCAAATAAGCTGGTTTCTCTACAGAAGCCAAGCAGAAATAGTGTAATTCAAGCACAGTGATGTGTGCTTGCTGTGCCCTGACCAGTGTCCAGGACTGGCTGCAGTGCAGAGCTTTCCCCCAGGCGCTGGTGGAAATTCTCAGTAGCCTTCCCAAACACCAGTCTCTGGCCAAAGCTGTGACCTGGGAGCTAGAGGAAGCATCAAGTGATGATTTCTACAAAGCCATTTTATTTATGGCACTTCAGACTTTCTGGATTGGCCCACAGGCCATTGTCTCAGTCACAATTTTAGCCTTTCCCTTTTTAAAATAGGATCATGATTACACGCTTCAGGACTTCTAACCTTTTTTTCTTCACTGTTTCAGTTGTTGATCTCTAATTTCTCTTCCCTTTCCCTTCAGGGATTATATCCTTTTTATGACTTGTTATTCTTTACATTTCTCTTATCTTTTTTTCCTGTTGAATAGTCTACAGGTTCTCTTTGGAGATGCCTTTAAATAATATTGCATTTGCCAAGTGCTGCTGTTGGAAATTACTCTTCCAAATTCAGAGCTTTTCATTGTTCTGTAAATATTTTGAGCAGAAACAGAAACCAGAAGCTTGGAATGCTCATTTATGATCAAACCTCTTACCTTGTTTGTTCTGAAGCACTGGTGCTGAGGGGAAAATCACATAATTGCATGAATTGTTGTAAGGTAAGGTTTGACAATAACTTCAGAAAGTTTTAACTAAATTTGTTTTGTCAGGAAATGACAAAAGTAGTTCTGAGCTTTGCTGAGCTGCCTCTTTGCTGACAAAGGAGAAATATAGCTAAGGAATACATAGGAGAAATGACACTATTTGGCTTTCTAGTTTTGCTTTACAGTTTGCATAACTATTACGAGGAAGCTTCTGGCTTAATAATACACCAGGTTTAATGCATTAAATGCAGCCTTGAATTTCACATTCCTTACAAGCTGTGCTCTAAATATTTGTTGTGCTATTCAGATTCATAAAAGCTTTTGATCTGCCTGCACTGTGAACTTTTACTGAGCTCTCCTTTTGGAACTGGAGATGCTTCACATCTGGGGATGGTTGGTTCACATTGTGGCACACAGTAATGTCCAAGCCAGTGGCCTGAAACTTCAGCACTGTCACAATTTGGAAAACACAAAAAAACTGTCAAACAAATTACAGCTGGTGATACAGAAGAAATGTTTACGCCTCTTGGTAATGGACCAAAGTGTCACAAACTTTATTTAGCTGTTGCAGTGTGCCAGTTCCATATGTGTTGTAGCGCTTGCTGAAACAAGCTGACTATGGGGAATAATTGCCTGTACATATCTGATAAACTTTGTGGTTTGGACAACTGTTCTTTTACACAGGAGCAGCCTTTGAAGGGCTGGCTGTTGTGTGACTTGTAATTGCAGTGGCATGTAGGAGGAGAGAAACAGGAGGAGATAAGGGAGAAACAGTTTTCATAGCCTAGAACTGATGAGACCTGTGAAGAAGCGTCATGTCCACTGGAGGGACTAATGGGCACCCTGAGCAGCAACACAAGGTGTCTGCTGTGCCACTTAATCTCTATTAATTGACCCAGATGGCTGGATCAACTGCAGCCTTGATGCACTTTCTGACTTGTAATAAATGTGCTAAGGAAGCAGCAGAAGTAATAGAACCTCTTTGGGCACTGACATGCCATTGGGTTTTCATAAATCCCTGGAAGTGTAATGCTGGCAAATGAATATTCATAAACCAGGCTATTAAAATTTTAAGAGAACCTTGAGGGGATGATGATGTCAGATTCCAGAGTTAATTATAGAGGTGGTAAAGTTCTTGACTAACTAGGCTGAACATACTCTTACAATGGTTTTAACACAATACAACAATCAGAGGGAGCCACAGTGCTGGATGTAGGTTCTCAATCTCTTAATATATTCCTTGAACTGAAAGTCTAGCAGTGTAGGGAAGAGGAAGTATTTACATCCAACTACTGTGGAAATAAATCAGCTTCTAGTGGTTGAGTTGCTATTTGTCTTTTGAACTTATTTTTGTCACTGAATTGATTTCAGTTCCTGGCTCATTCACTTGTCATAAATTGCCCTGCAGGGTTGGGCTGCCGTGCTATGGTGGCTTCCTTGAAAATTGCCAATTGTTATATGAAATCTGTAGTGTTCATGAGCCTTATTACAGGGAATACTAAAGACTTCACTACCTTTACTTACTCAAGGCAGCAATCAGTTGGTATTGCATGTTTTGACAGCATTGATTAAAAATCTAGGAGAAATGCCAATGCCAGTCCCTCGTATTTATTAGCTCACTTGGGTAGAGCATGGGGTTTCATACCCCATGTGGGCCATTCAGAGTTTGACACTGATCCTTGTGCGTTTGCAACTCAGAATATTCTGTGACTCTTCCTATGGTATTTTGGTAGTGCAATGTGCAAAACTATTGAACACAATTATAACTACCCTGGAATCAGGTGGTTAAAGTTCTAAATTGTGGGATCTTACTGAAATTAATGCTACTGTTCCATTTCTAGTAATATTTCCTTTCTTAAATAGAAAGGGTGAAAAGAAAGAACACATTACTGTGTTTCTCAGCTCAAAATTTGTACCATAGGACCCTTTTAATAGCACAGTCCAGAGAAGGAAGAGAAAGAAAATAATTATTGGAATTTTTTTTTTAGATGTTGTATAAAAATAAAATCTAAACCAAACTAGTTGATTTGGTTTGGTCAAGAAACACCCGAAAAAAACACTGTAAACATCGATGAAGCAGTTCTTAAATCCAAGCAAAAGGCCTGAAAACAACTGCAAATCTCAAAACAGGTTAAATTGATTCTGCAAGTTTAGGATAATTTAGAAAATCATTCGAACTTGCTTTGAAATTGAAATCCTTCTTCTTAAGAGACAGCTCTTCAGCAGTCAGTAAGTCTAATAGAGATGCTTTGTGACTACAAATATGAAAAAAAGTGTTACATTTTGAAATGCATTTTATCATCAAATAATACTTTCAAGAACTCTCATCAGTTCTGGGAGTGCAACAGGAAATTGCTAATGTCTAGAGAGATATGATGCAATCTTTTGAGAAGGTAAATAATTTCTTAATCTCAGCTTTCAGCAGCCCTTGTTGGAGGGCGCATAAAGAGGCAGCATCTGCTTTTGGGTGTAAAACACAGGCAGGCTTTTTGACAGAGGCCTTCAGAGTGCTCCAAGAGGAAAGCATATTTATGACTTGCCTGATCCTGCAGTTTGCATGATTAAGTAAGCATGAGGTCTTCCACACTGCTCAGTCTTGAATCCTTTTCCTTCAAGAAGGACTTGTGCCACAGAAACTGTGTCCTGCCCACCTTCTTCCTGCTTACTAAAGATGCTTTAACAATGTGGCCTCCATACCTGAGATCCAGTGGAAAAATAAAAATATACATCTGCAAGATGTATTTCATGATGGAAAACAAAGTTCAAGACTGTTGTGGATGAAAGGCTTTTGGGTGTCACATGCTGGCAGCCAAAGCTGTGCTGATTGCATCCATGCAGGAGACAGGAAAGTTACTTGTCACAGAGGAAGAACTGAACAGATGCCAAACCTCCACCACAAACCTGTCCACTGGAAAGAAAAACCATGTTAGTTGGAAAGCTAGGCTTTTCCTTAGCAAAATAGTATTTCAATAAGTATTTGCCCTTCTTTCTCATATTGACCATCCATCAGAGGGTATGAGTGGCTCCTATCATAGAAGCCAGATGTGAACACTGGTCTAGAGAGATTGAAAGTGAGAGACTGGCATAGTGGTGGTGGTGGTCCACCCAGCACCAGTGCTGGGATCAGCAGTGGAGTGGATTTTTTTTCCTCAGTTCAACAGCACTGGACCAATGCTTCAGGAGTGTAGGGAAAACCACAAGGTAAAGATTGTGCAGAGTGTGAACTTGAACTTCTGGAAGAAAAAGGTTTTTTTCTGAAAAGGATGAAAGTACCTTGAAATAGATACCTCCTCTTTCTGTTTGCTTTCATGCCTTTTTGTATGGCTCCTGTATCTGATCTTGGCAATGCTAGGGAGGAGGAAGGTAGGGAAGAAAACCTGAATGGAGCTGGATGGAGTCTCTTTTTCCAAAAGTAAAAAGAATAATTTCTGAAGATATGTCAGCTTTTCTAGCTGCGAGTTTTTCCTGGTGTGAGAGAAAGCAGGGTGGAGGAAGAAAATGCAGATCCTGATCTTTCACTTGAGGTTAGGTTATTTCTTCAAATTCTTGGGGTCTGCTCTTCTCACTTGGTCTCCTCTGCCTCTAATGTGCCCAAGATCCCTGGGAGAGAGGAGTATCAGGAAGATGACTGGCCTCAAGTTTTCCTTACATTTATTTTTGTCAAAGTGGTCAGTGGCTGTGTAAAAATAGTCTCTCTCCCTGTCTGTGGGAAGAAGGGGGATGTGATCTCAAGGAGCCATCTTGCAGGTATTGCTGGGAACAGCTGAGTCCCAACGCCAGTGTGGGATCTGCCCCAAATTCCTGCGTTTTGGTACATTGATGGTGTGCAGTTGGAGTTTTACATCGAGTTCTTTGTCAGCACTTCAGCCAGCTCCTGTTCATAGCCAGCTCTGCCTGTGCCTTGCATGGCTGTGGCCTCTGCTGTGGAGCTGGTGCTTGTGCTCCAGAGCAGGTACACTGCAGTCCTGAAGACAGCACTGTGCTCCAGGCAATATGTCCCAAGAGTGCAGCTGGGTGAGCCTCATCCTGGTGGGATTTGTATGGAGCTCTGGTCTTTGCCTCTTTCCTTTAATGATTAATAAGCAATTACAAAGGGGTTTTTTGTTTGTTTGCTTTTTCAAACCATAAACTCCACGCTTGTTATTTTTTTTTTTGTTCAAGGAGCACATGGCTGTATTGATTGTGCAGAGCTGCCTGTCACTTTGCCAAGTTGTTGTTAGCTTGCCTGTGGCCAGGCAGCATCTATGAAAAAGCCCTGCCTTGCCTGCTCCTGCATTGTTTCCAAATAAAGGCATGTCTGAAACGGGAGTTCAGCCTCCAACTGCCGGACCTTAAAGAAAGGACTTTTTGCATGTGGATTGAAAAGAGGGGATTTTTCTGCAACAAAATGCTCCTTCCCCACCCCTTCCCTTTCTCAAATTAGGCTAAAAAGTTGCTTTAAAATTTAAATCATGCAAACTGCTTGTTTTAAACTCTCTCTCTCTCTGGCAGACAGTTAGGGAACCTAACCATCAGGCCTGGAGGCACCTCAGACTTACTAAAATGTGCAGTCTATGTATTTTGTTATACATTTAGAGCAGCTTAAACAGAAAATGCTCATGTTCCTGGCAACAATTTAAATGTGATCCTTTCCTCATCTTATGTGAGGAGTGGACAAGGTGAATGAGTACCTGTAATGCAAGGTAGTAGTTTGGGTGACTTTGGTTTTTTTTTATTATTTCTTAAACCAACAGTACTCTTCATCATGGTTTAATACAAGTTTGAGGTGGCATAATAGTGTTTAGCTGTGTATGATCTAAGGACACAGCTAACATGAGGTTGTTAGGAAGAGGTAATTTATTAGACCAGCTGGTATGGGGGGAAAAAATGAGCCAAGCTTGCAGGCACACGAGCACTTCATCAGGTCTGAAATAGAAGCAGCAGATTTCAAGGTTAAACAGAAGTTATGAAAAACTGCCCTGTTTAATCAGACATGCATTGAACTGCCAAAGAGGAGCTAGCTGGTATGATATTCCTTCAGGGGAGGAGGGAGGGTGGGAAGATGATTGTTATACTGTAGAGATAAGGACTTCACAGCCTGTTAAACAGGGGGAGGCTATAAAACCAGTACCTGATGAGCTCATGACTGTTCTTAGTATCTTGGGAGTAGGAAATTTTACTTCTTTGTCCTCTCTTTGTAAAGTTTTGGTTTTGTAGGATTTTTGAGAATCGTGATTGCCACATCAGTCATTTTTAGACAAATAGTTGGTTTTATCTAAAGGAACTCTGTCAGACAAATTTCGTTTCAGGCATTCCAATTGCTTGCCATCCTTAGCCTACACCGCTGATTTAAGAAGTTACTTAACACCAAGTTCATATTGGAAAAATGGGTTTCAAGGCTTTGTAGAATAATTGATGCTTTACTTGTGCTGCTATCAGAGTTGGCAGTATGCTGTTTCTAAGGTTTGAATTAGGTTGTGTTTATCAGTGTGGTTTCACTACACATCTGATGATGCACTCACTGTCAGTATGCACACTGTGGAGAGCAGAGGAAAACTACTTGGTACACTTTAACAAAAGCTTTTCAATCTTTTTCTTTAGTGCTGTATCCTAACTTGATAAATATTATAGTTAAAGCAAGGACAGATTAAATACGTTAAAGTAGAAGTCACAATCTTCTCGCTTGCTCATCTGACTTCTTATTGTGTTTAATGAGCTGTCTGTACAAATGCTCTCTAAATTAACCTCTATGTGTATTTTAAAGTTACAGGATCTGCCTTTATCATGCAAGACTGACTTTCAGTATCAGTTATGATGGTCAAAACGATTGAGGCTGTTGTAGTGGTCTCAGGAGTCCCAGGAACCAGGCTGTTCATTTTTCTGAGTCCCACTGCTGTATGTTAGGAAGGCAGAGCTGTTTACTCAGCTGGGTCCCGTTTATACAGCAGGAGCTGGATAGGTAACCCTGGAATTTAACCCAAGCCCTGGGTAGGTGAAGGAGGTCAGAAAAGCTTAATCTAATTCAGATAAATTACTTGCCAGGAAAGGGTATAGCTGTACTAGCATTTGTCTTTCTCTGCCAGAAGACAGCTTCTTCCAACCTGCTAAACCAACAATTTGAAAAATGTTGTCAGGTATTGGGAGCAGTTACACAGCAAGTGGGAAAGACTGCAGCAGCTTCCTTGATGTTGTAAGATATCAACAGGCCATAGCTATGCCTTGGCTTTCTTGAAGATAGTTTTATAGAAACTTCTAAAGATTAAAGTATGTTAAAGTATCTCTTCCATGGGATACTTGAGTCATGGAACTCTTTGATCACGTGGCTAGTGTTGAAGCTATGTTTTTGTGGTTTGCTCTCAAATTTGTCAGAATTTGCCTGTAATTAGCTGTGAATGCCCTCCAACATTACCACTTTAGCAGTATTGCTAGTGCTTTAGTAACCTGTCTTACAAGTCTCAGGAAATGTCCTGAGCACATACACTGACAGCAGATCACCCTTAGACTCGAGGGATCGGTGCTACTGAGTATGGCCTCTCTGTAGCAAGTTCATAGGGAAGGTAATATTAGAAGCTAAAACTAATATATTGTTTTAATACTTGGCCAAAAAGGAGTAGCATTTTTAGACTGATATGTGGTGTGGAACAAGTTACAGAAAAGCTTTTATCTGACTGGAGCTTAATGGAGTGTGATGGCTCAGTTCTAACAGATAGGGGCTTTGTATATTAGCTGCATGTTGTGTAAGTAGCTTTTATTTATGGCAGAGGTAGCCAGAATGCTCTATAAAGTTGGAATATGAGTATTTATAGGACTTCATCCTGATTAATTAATAATATTTGTGCTTGGAAAGAGAGAGAATTAGCTGGCATAACACTTGATGGGATTAAAAATGGAAAGAGGAAAAAAGTTAATTAAAGCAATTTCAGTCGATGGAAATGGGTTAACTGTATATTCTTCCAACTCAGTTGGAGCCCAAATTTGTTCTGAGATATTTTTTTTCCAACTCCTATCTCTTCATGAGAGTAACTGAAAGGAAGCAAAAGGCCTGCTGCAGTCTCCACATTAAAAAAATGAAAAATTCTGTACGGAGCCCTTGTTTGTTTGTTTTTCTCACAATAGAGGATATTAAAGAGGAAAAAAGAGTCAACAAACAGGAGCACTTAAGCCCTGTAGATAAGAAAATAGAAATACAATGTTAGTTTTATTTTTGTGTAGTGAGGGATAAATTTGTTACAATATTTAACAATGTTTGCTATTGGATTTTCCCATTAAAGTATTTTCCAGAAAGTAGTAATCATGGAACACAGTCATTTGCTTCACTGATTCGAAAAAGAAACATAACTAACAGTATGACTTCCACAGAGAAACAACTTTTGAAACAAAACATAAGAGCAGTCCACTAAATGGAGATTTCTGGCATTCCTAGAGCTGATTCACCTTGGCGCCCCTCAGTTTACTCCTTTTTCTCCTCCCTGACTTTCTGTTTTAATTTTTTTGAGATTATTTACCAAGTTACCTGACTTCTGCTGTTCTTTGCATTCTGATTGCAAGACAGAATGACAGGATAGGTGAGTTCTGTGTTTATTCTCACATAAAATGTTCTAATAGTCAGTAGATGAAAAGAAAATCTAAAAAAAACCCAACCAATGAAACATTTCTTCCTGTAAAACCCAGTTCCTCTGCAGGTGTGTTTTATGCACCCACAGACCCTTGAAATACTAGAAACTGGATGCTCATACACTGTTCTTCATAATGACTTGCAAGAAATAATGATAATACTTAGCCAAAAAAAGCTCTCAGAAAAGGAACCATTTGAGAACTTACATATGCCAAATTGTTTAATAGGATATTTTCACACATATGCACACATACCCTTGAGGGCAGAAAGTGAGAATTTGACTATAAAAATGAAATTATGGTATCCCAGTGAAATCCCATATAGTGCCCTCACTAGAGCAGTCCTCTAGTTTTGTTCAGCTTCATTAAATAGCATTCTAGTGCTCTGGATCTCCTTGGATAGGATTTTGTTCTTTTCCTGTATATTGTGAACTAATGCAACTCCTGGACTTAGTCCAGCCTGTGCTGACTTTACAGCTAGACATGGGGTATAAGCTGCTGATTATGGCTTCAAACTACTCAGGAAACAAAAATAAAGAGCTCAAGAAAATGTTGCAGCTTTTCACAGTGACTTCATGCACGGCCACAAGCTGTCAGGAATTTAAAGTTTCTTGTGCTGGGTTTTAATGCAGGCATACTTTCCATGGCAGTCTGAAATACTGCTGCAGGTTGATTTACAGCCATTGGCAAACAGTATCTTTACAAGATAGTCTGAATGTCCTAAAATGTAGCCTTCACTGAGCCTTTTTTTTTTTTTTTTTTTTTTGTTTACATGACTATTTATGCACATGATTTTTTTTAAGTCCAAGCAATCTATGTGTATGCTGAACTGCACTACAAATTGTTAAATCATTTAGAGAAGCTACTGGATTACTTAACTCTTCTACTGCTTTATTTTATTCAGTTTTTCCATTAACACAAGTCAGGCCAGGTATAGAAAGGCAATGAGGAAAACGAGCATCTTGCTTGGACTTCAACATCCTTTGTGTGAAATGTAGATATAGAACTTGATAGTAAATATGCCAGTAGTGCTGGTGGGCTGGTGTGAAGTTCCCAAATGGCTCCCAGAGGCTCCCTGGTGTAGGAAGGACAGTCTCCATGCCATAAGAAAGCCTTTCTGTTGACTCTGTGGGCAGGACACTGTGCTGACAATAAACTCAGTGCATGAATTTCATGTGTGTCTGTCCAGTACATGCTCTGTCAAGGTGCTGAGGCTCATGAACAGCTGCCTTTCCTTGCTTGAATCACAAATTGTGGGCCCAGCCCTTATGGTGCATGTGAGGATGATGGAGCATTTAACAAAGAATCTTTGTAGGGTCCCTGTACCCAAAATTCCCCAAGGCTTGCTTCTCATTTCCCCTGAGAACTGCAAGGTCCTGGGTTTGGAAACAGCGTGGTATGGTGGCAGAGAGAAGTCTTACTGCAGAACATACCCCATTTCCCTGCTGGGGTTTGCCCCTCCTGAGGTCCTAGGGACTGAGCATTCTGTAGCATCACCTGGCACAGAGCTGTGTCCCACTGTGTTAGGAGATATTGTACTGTGCTTGTCTGTGATTTTGATGGTTATACACTATTCCTCAGCAGGAATTTTGCCTCACTTTTAGACAAATACCTTGCAAGGCAAGGTATTTTTTCTTTGCCTTGCAAGGCTCTAGTCCAGCACCCCTTCTGTTGGTGTATTACTGTAACAACCAATGGCCATTAAGACATCAAGGGAGTCCTTTCTTTCCAGCTCTTAATTTGTTCAAGCTGCCTGTCTTTTCTCTTTTTTAAGGGATGTCTCTTTCCATTACACATGCTTAGTGCCTCTCTTGAAACAGTGCAGCATTCCTTTGATGCTATTCATGGGACAAACAAGTTGACTGATGAAGGGAATTTACCTGCAAGAAAAAAATGTCCAAGAGTATCAGCATGTTTACACTGTGACCTTCTGGTTATTGGCTGCTCCACAGCGTGCTGCTCAAGTTAAGCTTTGTGCACTACAGTTGGTTCACCTCTCACTAAAACAGCTCCTTAGTTTCCTGTGATCAGTTCTCTCCTAATAAAGTGTGCTAGGTTGGACAGACCTTTACTGAAATCTCCTGGAGAAGGAAAACAAAACCCTTCTCAAAAAGATGGCTGGGTCTGTGCAGGAGATGAAATGAAGTGGGTTAAGAGGGCCAGCGAGGAGACTGGGTCTCTAATGGCAGAATCTGCAGTGAGAGCAGAAGAGCCAGGGGTGGAGTGGGAGTACATTTGGAAACACTGATGAATAGAAATGCAGGGGGATTACCCATAGTATGGGGTACAGGAAGAAGGTGGAAGTATATAGAAGGCAGCAGAAATAAAATCAGAAGTGAGGGATTGACAAAAATGAGAACTGGGAGACTAAAAGGAGTAGAGCTGGGAATGGTCGTTCTAGTCTTGGGAAAGGAAAATTTGGAGCTGAGCTCCTCCATCTGTCAGTAAAAGCTGGGGTGTGACTGAGCACTTTTCTCCAGCCATCACACAGGCATCAATATTGCACCAGCCCTGGGGGCTGTTCCCTGTGTGCTCATGAGGTGGCTCTGGGAATCTGGACCATAACAAACCTCTTGGCTCCCCAAGCAACTGCCCTTGTTCTTTCATTTATAGGCTGTTTTCTCTGCTCACTTCATTTCAACAAAGTCATGATGTTTTACTTTTGAGCTTGAACTGACCATCTGTAGACCAGGGGAAGAACACCTCCCCATTACCTCACTGAAACCCCATCTGTCTCCTCAGTGAATGTGTGCCTGCAGCACATAACTGGTGATTACATGGTGGATGTGTTTCCTCTCGTGTGACCGAGAGCTGGGGTGGCAGCTGATTCTTGTAAGGTCACTGGAGGAGGTGGCCTTTTTTGGGGACTGAGTGTGGAAAGTATTCTTCAGCCTTGCTTTAAGCAGAGGTCTTATGTGAGCCATTATTCTGTTCTTTCAGCATCACCTTTGCTATGCATGTACAGATTTTGCTGAAATTGCTTTTCTGGCCTGTTCTTGAAAAATTCAGCAAGAATTTTATTCTCTAGCTCTGCACCAGTCAGGTTTAACTGACTACAGTAACTGTGCTTTGTCCTGAGCATTGAAAAAGCCAGATTTCTTCATGACAGTGTCTTCCCTACCACTTAGGTATCCTTTTGGGTTTAAAATATTCAGAACACAGATTTTAAAAAATATTAATTCTACCTTTTCCCCTATCTTTAACACAGGAGAGGAGATACTGCTGTATTTCCAAAATTCCTTTCTGAAGCCTGTCTTGGAAGTCATAATGTCTATGAGCAAAGATGAAAAATGGGAGTGTTAAAATGGAGAAAAGTCAGCTGTAACATTATCTCCCATTTAAAATTAAAACAGTGAAAGCATAAAAGCATTGGAAAGCCTTTGCTCATGGGCAGTTACACAAACTAAATTAACTGGTGACAAGTAAGCAATCACCTGTGAGGGTGTCAGAGTGTTCCATTCCAGATGTGCCTAGGTTTATTGAGATTCTCCTTTTTAACCAAGAGGAGAAGTAGTGTTCCCCTGGTACTTTGGATTTGTCACTGTGTATTCAGAGAGACTGGAAACAAATAGGTGAACCCATTTCCTCTAGCAAAGCAGTTTCTTCTAGCTTTTCTCTCATCCCAGCCTGAAAGTCTGTGAAATGTCTGTGAAATGTGACTGATTTTCAAAGTTCAGGGCTATCTTGACTTTTTCCTGAAACTCTTAACAGGTCTAATGCTCACACAGCACTTCTTCTCATTGCTTGTGTGTTGTTTAGTTTCCTCCAGCATTCATTATTGATATTCATAAGAGCATATTATGCTGCTGATCTAAGCAAATTGGACACAAAGAGAGTTGGCTTATTTTAGGACTTACCTTTGTGTAATCATGTCTGACTGGCCCTTTTTTGAATGCGTGTGCCCCATTTCTGTGTAGAAGTGAAGCATATTTTGGGTGAGAACAGACTGAGGCGAAAGTCAGCAATTCTGAGCCAAGATCTGTGTGTGCACCTGGGTACAGGTTCAGCCCAAAATGATAATGGCTAAGCTTACAAACTATCAGCTGTTTTTTTAAATGTACTGTTTTAAGAGTGAATGGGCCACATATTTTATCTCTTTTAATTATAATAGTGTGAACCCCAGGTTCATAGGAGAGCAGGACATAATTGTGATCGTTTGGTTACTTCAGTAGGGTGATAATCATAGTTTACTTTTACTCCCTGTGCTCAGACTATTTTCTAGCTGAATCATACAATAAGTACATCATTATATCTGATTGTATTAGGTAGATATTTAAACCTAACAAGGTGGTTTTGATGAAGGATGCAAATGCATTGTCTGTACTGACCTGAAGGCAAAAGCCACTGTGCTGTCCCCTCGCAGGGGTCTCGTGGCAGCGCCGTGGTACGAGGTGACCCGTGCCAGCTCTAACCGCAGAGCTGTCTCCTGGCTTTCCTCAGACTCTGCTGGGAAAGAGGGTAGGACAGTATCCAAGTCTAGCATCTTGAAGTTGCCTTAGGAGTGGTGTAAAGGAGAAAACAGACTGAATCACAAGGGAAGCAGCAGCAGAAGGATTTTTTTTTATTTGGCTGGATCGCTATTTTTATGGAGGGTAAATCATTACTTTTGAAGCCATCTGTCTGAATTGCAGTGAATCTCACCATAACTGATCAAGAGTAATAAATAATTAAATAGTAGTGCTCAAATGAGTATCTCTGCCTTGCTTTCATCTAGTTCCCTTGGTTGTGGTGTTTGACAAGTACCTGTCTGCTCCTTGGAGCTGTGAAGGTGGCTGTTCATACCTACACCGCTGCCCTACTTTCGAGCAATTCATGCAGTGAGAAACCTGATTATTTTTTCAGTCTAGTGATCGTACAATGCGCTGTGGTGGAAACTGTACCTGCACTCCCCGCAGTTTCATGCTGCTGTGGTAAAACCAAAGCGTGTCCCCCCTCACCTGTGAGAGCCTTGGCCTGCCGGGCAGCGCCCGTGGGCCCCGGGTGCCGCGGCCCTGCAAGCGCGGGGACGGCCCGGAGCAGAGGAGGGCTGCGAGGCTGCAGCTGCCGCCGGCTTTCAAGGTAAACACTGGGTGACCTATAAGCCAGCCAGTCAACTCACGCCTGGCCTTATTAGGCAAGCTGCGGAGCCGTGCCTGGGGACGGAACACGCGCAGCCCAGAACGGATCCGGCGCAGACCCCGGGAGATACGACCCAGTACCGCGGCGCTGACAGCGAGCTGCTGCCGCCTGAGCGCAGCTGGCACTGACACTGCGCTCTGCCTGGCAAATATCAAGATTATGCTAGAGGTGGCTTTAAAAAGTGAAATCTTTTTGTGTAAATGTTAGTGGATGTAGTTCTGTTCCTGGTGTGTTTTTTATGTGCTTGATTATAACCTTAGGACGCCAGTTCACACTGTCAGTCCATATAGTGAAACACTTTGTGGGCCTTTGCTGGGAAGTGTGTCTTCATTCCTTGCACTGCCTGCTTTCAGAGGAATACTGGACTAAGAGGAACTATTTTTTTTTTTTAATGACTTTGGGACTTGTTTCTCCTCTCTTAATATGCAGTTTTATGCCCTTTATTGGAAAACTGATTTTTACTGGCTAAAACAATTATCTTGCTCCCAGAAGAAAGGGAATATTGGTACCCACTGTCTGTGTACAGACCAGGACTAAGCTAGGTTGCTTCATACCCACCTCATAAAATCTGACTTCCACATGGAAGAAGTCTTTAAAAAAGTATTTACATTTTTCCTTTAGCATAATCTCCATAGATTTAGACAAGCAGATGCTGTGGAAACTTTCCCAGGCAGCTCTGGGAAGGCTCTTCTTGAGATCTGACTTGCGATTAACTTCCTGGTACCCCCTTGAGCACCAGCAAGAATGTTGGTGATTTTTGCAGGGGCCTTGGGAGTGAATAAGGGCAATGAAGAGAAAAACGCCATAGCTGCCATGAATTTAAACCTGCTCTCTAGAGACAGACTCCAGAACTGCAGCATCACTGAGTTAGCTTTTCTTTCCTCTTTAATTTTTGCTTAGCCATGCTGATTGCAAATTAAGCCTGGTACATGTGCCTTTTTCATAGTGCAGTGACAGTACTTGCAATTGAGTCTCCTACCTTGACAATCAGCTCTTTAATAAAGCATACATTTTTCTTCATTTCTTTTAATAAATATTTAATTTTTTGAGAAAGCATTGCAACATGCCATAAACAGGATGGGAGCTGGGGTCATGGATTTCTTGTCTGCAAGGTTGCTGTCTGCCTGAGGCTTGAAAAATTATATTTCAGGGTAAGTATGCAGGGATAGGATGTGGCCTGTGAAATATCACATTGCAGTGGTAAACAAAATGGGTATTTTCCTTAGATGACTACACGAAGAGCCAAAGAACTTTATAATAAATTCTTCCTTGGGGTATGCATGCCTCTCTCTGCCCTCTTATTGGATTTTTACCCACGTGCAGAGGTGTTCAAGAGCAGCCAGGGGAAAACTCAGTAGTGTGGCATTCTCCAGTGCTGTTTCACTGCCATGTCTCCTCAAAGTCCTTGAGCTGTTTAATGACTGAGATTGTCTGCATTGTTGGGAGAGGAGTTGCTGCCTTATCCTCCTTTCCAGCCATTTTGCTCAGTGCAGAAATGGTTGTGTTACATCTGGCATCTTCTGTTACTGCTTTGGGCCCAGAGACAAATAGGTGTGACTGAATTCAGATAATGTGCCCCACTGATACATCGGATTACCACATGAGAAAAGGGCATCTGGCCTTTGAACTTCCTTGAAGGAGCTCCTCTAGTCTGATCCTACTGTTGAAAAGGAAAACCTTGGACATCTTTTAATTATGCTACAGTCTTGCCATGCGATTTTGCAAACAGTGATATGAGAAGCGGGGATGTTTCTTACTCTGAAATGTGTTCCAAAATTGAAAGATACCAAATCTCCTTTTAGGAGTAATTAATTGCTGAAATTAATGAGTGGAGTGAAATCTGAAATAGTAATCTGGAGATTGGAAGGGGATTTCTAGTGTGGGTAGAAAAATACCTGTTGTTGTCCCTTTTCCCAGAGCACATTACTAAATAGCCAGTACAAAAAGACCATCCAGATTCTTTCAACACATTTTGTGCTACAAACCTCAGTCCCCTTTAAAAATCTACTAATCAGCTTTTTTCATCTCTTTGCATATGACCTGTTTTAAAGTGCGCTACACAAGCAATGCAGTGCTGAAGTTAAACTGAAGTCTTGTCCAAAACACAATCACTGGTCAAACACAAATCGTTTTGCCAATGATTATTTGGAAAGGATTGTATTTGCTTTCCACTGGAGGGATGACACCATGTCAGGAAACTTTATCCTATTTTTAAAGTTCATAAGAATGGCCTCAATTTAAGAAATGAGAAAATACTACTTCCCCACATACATGGGGTTTGGATGGAGAAGACAAACCTGACTGGCATTGCCAACCCAGAATACATACTGTGATTGCAAGGTGGGCTGCTGGGATGTGACTTGAGCTTTTGAGTGATTGTACTACTGAAGTTGTCTTCTGGGAGATTTTTGACCTGTCCTTCAGCTTTGGGCTGACTTCTTGAACAACTTGGCAGAGATTGCTGGAGGCTGGGAGGAAGGGGAAATAACAAAAGGGAGTGCCTTGCCACTTCCTTTGGAAAGATATGCCTACATACCAAAAACTGACAGGGTGGCCTGGGGTAAGCAAGAAGCCTGCAGCCTGGGAGGGGAGGTCAGATGGACTGATGGAAAAGAGTGGTCTGATTTAGCCCAGTCTTCTGACCTTCATTCCTGCCATCATCCACAGCATCTCAGGTCTTGGCATAGCTCATTTTGACTAGCTAATCCATGAATGCTCACCTTGGCCAGAAGAGCAGTTGAATAACATTTATGAGCTCCTTTAGAACTCTGCCCATGAAGAGTGGATGAAAATATTATTTCGTCATTACATTTATACAGAACATCTCCGTTTTCTGTGCTGCTCAGATTCCTGTTTATCTAATTAGCATATTTGCAGAAAGTTTCATGCAGTCACTGTGGGTTTTCTTTCCTCTGCATTGTTGATTTCTTTAAAATTTTATTTTATTTTTAGGTTTTCTTCAAACAGCTGTCATGAGCTTCTTTGATTTTTGCTTTTATGATAACTGCAAGTCACAACAAAGTATCTACCTCTCTTTATCACTTCTAAACTCTTCTAAATATAAATTCATAAGTGATCAAAATTCAAGAAGAAAAAAGGCCTGATCTTGGTGGGACCTGGCTCCTTAGTGCTTTGGGGCTGGCAGGCCTGTAAGTTGGGAAGTGTTTTGCAAGTCGTTTCAACTCCAGCTTTGATTAGAGCTATTAGTTTTGCCAGACAAAAGGAAGATATTTTCCTTCTCTTCCTGTGGGAAGCTTCAGAACAACATTTAACTGCCAGCTGGTCTTTCATGAGCGGTCTCAGATTTGAAATGTATACATGCTTAACCTCGAGCTCTAAGCCCAGATGACTGCAAACTTAGCTTCCCACTGGGCTGCCCCTGTTTCTGAAGGCTGAACTGTTGTTCTCTCTGTGTTTGCTTATGTTGGAAGCTGCTAATGCTGAAGAATTAATGATGGCAGAGGGGGACAAGAACATTACTACCGATTTGTAACACAGCCTTGATACCGTAGTTTGGCTGAGCACACTGACACACAGTCCTGGAGACTGGGTCATTTTTGAAGGACAAACTGCCCTTCCTCCTTTCTTCATCAAATATTTGGATATTAACTTCTTTTCCTCTGGGAAAGATTTGCTCTTAAGCCTGCTCTTTTCAAACAAGAAGCAAAATGCTAAATCCGACACTTCTTTTCTTGATACCCTTAGTTGACTCTGCTGACTTCTGTTTTTTGCACCATTTTCTCCACTTCCAAAGCTGGTTAAGGGCTAGCACAGAGACTCCTCTTGTGATAGATGATCCCTTTTTGGTGGAAAGGAGGAAAGCAAGTGGTCAGTTACCTACAGTTCAGTGTTCCAAATGATCTGTGTGAAGTGCATAGCATTGCTGTAATACCAAAGGCTCCAACATCTCAGAGTTTTAATATTGGAAGCAGTGTTTTCACATACCCCTTATCTTGAATCAACACTTGCAGATTCTGCACAGCAGCACAGTTTTAGTATCAACAGCAGTGCCAGGAAAGTTAAATCATAGGTCCTGTGCATGAAGCAATGGCTGATGATCACCTCCCAACCAAACATGATCTTGAAGCCAAACTCTAGGTATTTTTGTGAAGAGCTTGATAGAGATTATTTTTTTAATTGACTATGTTACTTTCCCCTATAATATCTCTTTGGACCCATGAGGTAGCCCCGGGATTCTTGACTTGCCAGCTGTATATAGTAGGAAAAGGAGTCCTGTTTGCACCAAAGCCTATCACAGATATTTCCATTTGGAGAGACTGTCTTCTTACTGTGTCCTGTAGGCAGAATCTGAACAGCACAAGCAAGAGCCCATTTAAAAATTACACAATTGTGAAAGGCATTCCACAGTTTTCCTGTCTTTCTGCAGCTCTCTGTGCTTTCCCTTCTGCACCTCATTCACCAGGACAAAATGCTGAGGATGATTTATAGCAGAGGAATGGGGGAGTCTGACCCCTCCCTCCACAAAAACAGCCATACCCCTCCTCTCTGTTGTAGGGGACATTGCCAGACAGGGGGTGACATCTGAGCTGAGCTCACCTCCTTTGTTAGCCAGAAGAGTTGATCCCTTTCCTGATCATAAGATCTTGTGCCTTTTCCTTTGTTCTGGCACCTCCTGAAAAGCACACCCAGCAGAAATAAAAGAGAATATTTACCAGAAGTTTAGTTGTCAGGCTGGGTCACTAGGGGAGCAGGACCTAGCAGAGGTGCTGCAGCAGGAGAAATGATGGCTAGGACTGTCTTTCTTGGCAGCCTTGAGCTATTGCATCAGCTCAGCTGTCAAGTCTAACTTCTCCTTCAACCTTGCTAAAGATTGCAGACACAATATTTATCAAATGAGTGGAGTTTACCTTAGCTTTATCAGAAACTTCCCTTA